GGGCTGGGGCCGTGCGGGGCAGTGCGTTTCCCCGCGCTGCGGGCGGTGCGGGCCCTGCCTCAGCCATCCCTGCGGGGCCGTCCCCGCGCGCCGTAAACCTTCGGCGATGCTTCCTTTTTCCTCTTTGCCTTGCAGCTGTTTTAGCGTTTCTCGTAATTTATAGTAATCTTTAGCGAATCCTACCTAGTGTGGCTGTTTGTCCCTAAACCTCCTAAAATTGGTTTTGGAAAGCGTTTTGGGGCACGTTTTGCTAGTTGCTTCAGTGTTTCATAGCTGAACAAAGCTTGGCTATTTCCAAATATTATTTCTGGATTTGCTTCCCATGATAGTTTGCCAGAACCTTTTAGAATTAGATTTGTTTATATTGCTTAAAGCTTGTGTGTGTCTCTTCTCCTGCCTTGACCAGCAAGGTATAATTTGTTAACATTTCTTCCACACAGATAAGGCTACACAGGGACATGTAATACATGTAATACATTGTCAGCTTGAATAGATATGTTGAAAAAGATTTTTAGTGATGTTTACAGCATCCTTTTATGGGGTTATTTTGTCTGTCCATAGCACTTTTTTTTTTTTTTTTTTACACTCCTTTCCTAGGTGGAAGCTGCTGAAACCAGTACTCCTGTGACTAGGAGTACAACTAGAAGAATTGCTAAATCGATTTGTAAGCCAGAGGTAATTCAGGAATCTCAGTCTGAAGAGCTGGAACATGCAGAAACAAAGTCAGATGTCAGTGATGACTCAGAGGTGCAGGTTAGCAGGAATAAGAATGCAGCTGTCCGTTCAGCACAATCAGTTGCTGAACCACAAGCTGATGGAGATGTGTCAGAAGCAGAATCAAACTGCTCTTCTGTGTCTGGTCTCCAGACACCTTTGTATGTAAGGGTAACAAGAAGGCGACAAATTTTAGTTCCTTCTCAACTAGAATCTCCTGACAGAAAAAGACGTGACAATACAGTGTTTCTAAATAAGTTAAGCAGGATTCTGGATGAAGATGATGCTTCTGAAGCAGAATCTTGTTCCTCTGCTGTTTCTGGTGTCCAGGTGCCTAATGTTACCAGCACTAAAAGAAGTAGGCAAAGCAAAAGGAAATTGCAGCCAGGTACAGTTTATGAAGCCCAGAGTGAAGATATTTCTGATGCAGAATCATGTTGCCTAAATTCCTATATGGAACCATCCATCACTACCAAACGAGTTACAAGAAGCATGAAAATGAAATCACAAATAGAAAATAATAAGGAGACTGAGAAAAGAAAGAGAATTGTTTCAGAAGATGAGAATTTAATTGAGGACACTGTTCTATCTGAGCCTGTAATAATCTCTGATTCTAAGCCTGCTGCAGAACTTGTGTCTGACACAGAAGATGTCACTGAGGATAATACAGAACACAGTCCACTTAAAAGGAAACATTCTTCCAAATCTGCTAATACAACCCGGAGTGAAGAGGTGAAAGAAGAGGTTTTAAATGATGTGACACACACCAGTCTTACAAAAATGAAACAAAGCGACACAAAATCACCTGTGAAAAAAGCAATACAAACTACCCAGTCTGTTGAGGCAGATGATTCAGAAGCAGCTTGTGGCCAAATACCCGAAAATGACAGTAGAAAAGGTGTCAGGGTGGAGGAATTCAAGTCTATGTATATTTCTCTGACTGACTGCATGAGTCCCAAACAACGTCTAGAATCCCAAGGGCAAATAACACCAAATGAAAGTGAAAAAATTCCTGAGCACAGAGGAGCAGATGCTGAGGCAGATGCAGAGCAGTCTTTCACCTCTCCTGATAAATCAAGAAAGAGTAAGCAGGCTAGTGCAGTGAGCAGCCTGCCCAAGGACATGGGTGCTGCACAGGGAACTGACAGCATTGCTAAGAGCAGGATGCTTGAAATCAGTGCAGACAGTAGTGAAAATCAAACAAAAGAATATGCTGTATCCCACAGCAGCAAACGATCAAGCAGTGGAAATGATTCTGTTTCACCGTTGCTCCGAAACAAAGCAAGTGATGAATCTGACAGTAGTGATGTGGCAGACATAGGTACAGATGACAAGAATGTGTGTCATAAAAAGTCAGATGAGAGGACTCCTTCCCTCAACAAATCTTTAAAAAACAGTTCACTGCATGTTGAAGGTCTTTTTGTAATTGATACCAAGCCTGGCATGAGTTCTAGCCAAAAGTATTATCTAGATGAGGTAGACCAAGACAGTGATGCTGAAAGTAAGCATGAAGGAAGTGAAAAAGGTGAAGAATCCTCAGATTTGGAAGAGGCTGAAGAGGAATTGATAGATGAAGATGAAAAAGATGAAGATGATGATTTCTTGAAAAATAAGATTGATGTGTAAGTATCTTTCTGGGATTAACTAAAGAATCTGCATTTCATTCAAGCACATTGCACAGGATATATACATTAAGTGCTAAATGATGCAGAATAAATGAGGGAGTAATCACGTAAGTCACATTGACATGGAAAATAGGGTTGTACATACCATGAAATACAAATATGGGGCATAAATTGAGGTTTTTTTCAGTTTTGTTTATAGCAGGAACAGAACTCTGATTTTTTTGGCATGTGGAATGTGTTGTATGTGTTCACCTTAAAACGCATAATGTAAAACTGAGTTAAACTGGTCAGGCTGACTCAGTTGCTTATCAGGTTGCAGTTTTCTTAATTGTGTTTCGGGTTTTTTTAATTGGAATGTAAATAACAAAAAGTCCAGTAAATTCCTTACATATTGCCTAACTGGATCATGCTTTTTGATCCTAGACAGTTGCGTATAATTTTGTGCCGTTCTTGCTGTGCTGTGGATGGTGACACTTCAAGTGAAACTAGCCTCTAAATTATGTATCTAGACAGCAAGGCTTAAAATCATTGCAGAACTGAACCTAAGTGGGAAGAATAAGAAAAACATTTCTTCTGTTATCCTTCTCAGAGGACAGTAGGAGGCTTAGCTTCATGCATATTGCAGTATTCTAATAATGATCTGTTCCTCTTTCAGTTTACGTCTTTCCAGCAGCATAGACCCTGGTTTGAATATCAAGAAGCTTGGAGGTTTATATATTAGCTTTGATGCAAAAAAACAGAAGCCTAAATCAAGTGTAACTGAGCAGCTGAAGGAGAAGAAGAAGGACCAGGTACTGTGTTTGCAATTATTTGATTATCTGTGACTACAGTAACACAAGGATGTTAGTTGAATAAGGTTGGTTTGTTTGCTTTTAAATGAGCATCCTTTTTATTGTTTGCTGAGAACTTCCATTTGTTAAATATATGTGACACATCAGAAACTGAAAAGCAGTGCAAATTCCAGCATTACCTTGTAAAGCTAAACAAAGTGGGTTATGCCTCAATTTTGTCTTGTTATACTTGAGCTGAAGGTCTGCTGACAAGATTTAGTCCATAGTCAGATTGAATTTCAGTCAATAAAGGTCTGTACTCTCCCTAATACAGAATTAACAGTTTCATTCCTAAAATACCTTTTGAGATAAAGGGAATGTGTTATTTATTTTGAGACTGTTTTCTTCAGCTCACCCATGAATAGTGCATTTCCTATCTCACTTCCAGAGCCAGCCAGCTGCTTTCTGTTGTGGGCCAGGGTTCTGTTCTGAAGATTTCTACTGCTCTTGTTGGGAATCCAAGCAGCTCAAGTATTGCATTACAGTGCTTGCCTAGATTCTGCATGATTCCTTTAGTAGGCTCTGTAAATACAGTTAAGCAGTAAATTTGTATCAGTGAGGTGACTGTCTAATGTTGAAAAAAATTCTTACAGTTCTTGCAGAGGAGTATAATAACTCCAGACTTTGAAAAAAAGGAATGTGTTCCACCCTTCAGGGAGTCACTTCACCAGCTAAAGAAACAACGCAGGGTAAGTGAAGAGCTGATAATGCCTCAAATAACAAAACAAGCTTTGGTAGAAAGGCTCATGCTGGGACTGAGTGCATATACAGGCCTCACTGGAAGTGGAGTGATCAATTTAGTGTCTTCTTTGAGCTGCCCTGTGGAGAGCCATCCTTTTAGCCACCTGGACAGTGAAGTTAAAGATGATATGCTCAGATGGTAGAAATCTGCCATTGATACAATGCTGATGATCTTCTTTATAATAAGGGTCATAAAATACATGTTTTAAAGGTACAGATTTACATTCTAAATGCTTTATCCATCTTGTATAGGGAAAAGTTTCTTATTCTGTTCCCATCCTAGCTGCTGAATGCAAATTCACTGTTCTTGGTATTGCATCATAGGCTGAGCGAGAGAAAACAACAGGTGATGGCTGGTTTGGTATGAAAGCCCCAGAAATCACAAATGAACTGAAAAATGATCTGAAAGTTTTGAAGATGAGAGCTTCGTTGGACCCGAAGCATTTTTATAAGAAGAATGATAGAGATGGTCTGCCCAAGTACTTCCAGGTAGGGAAGCAGCAGGTGGTGGTGGTGTATTCCTGAAGTTTTGACAGCTGTTTAAGAATGCCTATTTTGTAGGTAGCCTCTATGTTGATTTAATTTCATATCTTAATTATTAAAGTATTTTGATTACTTGGATACAGTTTGCTGCTCTTTAACTCTCTATTACATATGTGTATATGCTGGGGTTTTTTTTTAGTTTCAGCTAATTGCATAGTAGTGAACAAATATCTGATGGAATCCATACTCTGCACCCTCAGTGGACCAGATTTTCAGTGCTTTTCTAAAGTAGTAGCCTTTTTAAACAAGTATGTAGAAAATAATTGGCCTTTAAAATGCTTCTAACAGCATTAAAGCTTGGGCTCTCCTCTCTGCACTATGCAGTGAGACCAAGAGTGACATGCATATAAAACATGATGCAATTATTTTAATACTGTGCACTTTTATTACACAGATATTATGATCTGCTCTGTAGGTGCCTTTATGCTTGTCACTGAGGGTTTAAAAAAAAAAAGGCAAAATAATCAACATCTTGCTGTACAGTAAGAACTTCTCTTTTCTAGGTTGGAACTGTGGTGGATTCTCCCATAGACTTTTACCATAGTCGGATCCCTAAGAAGCAAAGGAAGAGAACAATTGTTGAAGAGCTGCTTGCAGATTCTGAGTTTAGAAGGTATTTAAAAATAGTATTGTAATTCTAATATCCCGTGTAAGAGAGGAGTGTTTTCAACTATGTAACTTTTTTTTTTATTTTATTCATCTTCTATGGTGGGGTTTTTTTATACTTCAAAGAAAACCTTTTAATCTTGTAGCACTTCAGTGGCACTTTCATTTAGAAGGTCCAAAGGACAGGGGATAGTTATACTGAGATGACGTGTTTTATTGGCATGAGAGGGTTTTATCCTACTCTAGTCATTGCTATTGGCAGCCACTCTTAAAGACTGATTTTTTAGGTGGTTTTTTTTTTGCATTTTTGATAGAAAAGAGCAGTCTGTAGTTCTTGAATGTTGATACTTCATTTTATAAATATGTCAGTCTGCCACCTGTCATGGGAATCTAAAATGTGCTAGAAGACATGAAGATTATGACTGGATTAATTAATGTCTGCATACTACAGTTTTTGGAGTAGATCCTTTAGTTGGTCCATTTTTGGTACTGGTTATCGTATGATGTTAATCTGCACTTCCCTTTTCACGTAATGACATGTTTTCTTTGAAGCAGTACATGATTTGGGGTTGTAAAGTTAATTTTGTCAGACTTGTAAATTAACTATATAATGTTGGGAAGGCAGGTTAGTATAGGTGTTTCTTAACTAGTTTTCTGACCTGATATATAAGGTATTTATTAGAAGGTATTTTTAAAAATTAATGTATTCAAAATTCAGTTAATTTAGGTTGTGGCTAATTAAGGGCTTTAACCAGATACTTCAGCATTAGAGCAGATATTAGTCAGGTTTCAGAGTTGCAGTTAAGAGTCTCAGTACTGCTCAGTGTGCAGAGATCTGCTGCAGTAACTGGTGCAGGTGCATGAGGAGCTGTATGAGTGGAGCTAGCAACTTGTACTCAGTAAGTATTGCCTGTTCATCTCTTAGATTGTTTGTGTTCCTCTTACCTCAGTTTGCAGTCTTGAGTAGAGTAAGGTTGATTGTCTTGAGTTTGGTGAGAGTGCAGTATAAAAGTGAATATAATTTGTTCGTGTAGTCGAAATTGGTGAGCAGTAGCTGTGTTTCAGCAAAGTGTCCAGAATGTGTTTGCATATGCAATGAAGAACTCCTTGCCAAAATTGATGGTTCTTTAGTTGAATTTTCTTCCAAAACAAATTTATCTGCATTTATCACAATCTAAGTGTTGCTTCCCCTTTACCTATGCATAAGTGTATAAAATCAAAGAAATCCTATTCAGGAAATAATGAGAACTCAGTTTGGCAAATGACATATGTAAAGCACTTTCCATGTTAACTTTTCCTGAACTTTGGTTTACCATGCTTAAAAGTGAATTATCTATTTTGTTCAGATATAATAAAAAGAAGTATCAGGAGATCATGAGTGAAAAAGCAGCTTTTGCAGCAGGGAAGAGGAATCGGAAGAAGAGGAAATTTCGCAATTAAGACGAAGAAAAATAACAAGCTGGAACGATTTATTTGTTATAAAACCTTTTATGGAATGCTTTGGGTGTGGTGTTTTGTTTTTTTTTTTAAGATTGCAGGTCATGTACAAATTGAGGTTTAGGGAAATTACTTCAGTGAGAACTTGGGAGCTTTATCAAATTATCATAGATCTAAATTAATGCTTATGTAAAAAGATAATGATATGATGTGCGAAGAAGTTTTTTACTGTAAGGGTGGTGAGACACTGGAAGAGGTTGCCCAGGTAAGTGGTGGCTGCCCCAACTCTGGCAGTGTTCAAGGCCAGGTTGGATGAAGCCTTGAGCAACCTGATCTAGTGAGGAGGTGTCCCTGCCCGTGGCAGGGGGGGTTGGGACTAGATGATCTGTAAGGTCCATTCCAATCCCTAAATTCTATGATTCTGTGAAGCATATTGTTAAATCCAAGTACAAAATCCAACTTCATAGGCTGTGGTCTTCTCAGGCTTCAGTCATCATTACTACATCAATGAATTAGTAAATTCCATTTGGAGTTACATGTGTAGTTCACCTTGGCACACATTGTGTGCTGGAACGGATTTGTCCACGTGTTGTCAGAGGTGCTGCTGGCCAACACTGCAATAGAAGGTACTGAAAAATAGTTTGGTTCTGAAGGGTTTCTCTCAACACTGATCATCATAAGATTGAGAATGTCCTGGAATTCAGTGCCTACACATATACTTTTATATTTTTGTGTGTGTGTATTATAATATAAATAATATATATGATTTATACATAAGTTTAAAGAAGATACAAATTACATATTGTTTGCTAAATAATATAAGTAATATGACTGAATATAAAATTTTATATCTATATGTTGATGTTATTAATTTTTGCCATTGATAATTGTCTAATGATCTTTTTGAAAATCACTTGACATTGGCATCCATTATCTAGGACGTGGTGTGCAGTTTGTGTCTGGAAGCTGACCTGGAGTAGTTCTTAAGGTAATAGAGTGAGTCTGGAAAGCCTCAGAGCCAGTGGTGTCATCAGCTCAGTTCCCCTTCTGTGATTGTCAGAACTGTTGTGGCATTTGGTTGTTTTTTGATGACCTGGTTATTTTATTGCTGTTACAATTAGTGTAACTCAGCTACTGCTCCTAGGTAACAGAAAAGGTGGATAATAGAAGAAATAAATCTGGCACTATCATTGTCTTAGGTGGATTGGGTGAGAAGGATTTAGAAGTGATTATCAGAGGGCCAGTGGTGTTGAATGCTTTCTTATCCCATGACCACTGAATTGTAAAGGTTGCTCTTGGCCAATGATTAACCATGAAGTTTTCTGCTGAGAATGAGAAGTAGTTGTTCTTTTAAGGATTAGCTATTTGTGCTGAAATGAGCATCATGGTATATATTGACCACCAAGTGAAGCTTGAAAGAAATTTTCCCCTGATCCCTTGGTGTGTTTTATTTCATTCCAAAGTTGACCATAATGTTTTACTACCAGAGACATGCAGGAATCTAGAGTCTTTAAAAAGTCCTCACTGCCTGGAGATGACTAATGTCAAAGTGAAGTAAATTCATTGGGAAGTATCAAACAGGTGCTAGTAGAACCACCTGTTCCCAGGTCTCAGTTAACATGCAGATGCTATTCTAATACAACTATACATATGCTAATATCTCAATTCTCCACAACAATAAAAAAAGCCAATAAAAATAACTGGTTCTGCGAATGGACACAAAAATTAATACGGAACACTGAGAAGAAAACAAGGCACCACAGTAGTTGTCATTGTGTTGCATCCTGGAGTGTTCAAGTCCAACTTTGGAAAAGCAATGTATGGCTCTGAAACACCTGCAGGCTTTGGTGTCACATAGCAAGCAACAACTCTGTGCCCATTGCTCAGGCTGCTCAGTAGCTAATTACAGAAGTTAATTCACAGGCAGCAAGGCTAGTGAGGGGATTTTTATGGTCTGTATCCATTCCTTTGGTATTTCTAATACCCTCTGTTTTGGCACACACTGTGACAAGCAAGTGCCCCTGTTCTGTGCAAACAAGGTGGGACAGTGTGGGGCTGCAGGGTAGTCCTTGCAGGTTGTGTTGGCCTGTGGGTCACCTATTGCCTGAGCTCATGCTTCAGCCTCTGTCAGTTGAGACACTAGAACAGTACCTTTCCTTAACCACCACTTCTCACAAGAGCACAGACAGGTGACATTTTGGACTCCTCCACCTTTCTGTTACATTTGATTAAAATTGACATAAGGTTTAAAGTGCTGGAGAGAGGGTAAAATAAAAATGCACCATGTGATTGCCTAGGCTTACCAGATTTCTTGGGAAATAAATCAACATTTGTGAAGCTTTGCTTATCAATTGCAAGTAGTGTTTTCTTTTAAGGGCTGTCAGAAATATTTATGTTAGTTTGTACTTCTGCCTTTATTGACGTAAACCATTATTAACCATAAATTTCCCTGAGATGAAAGGGCAGTAGGAAGTGTGTTGGGTTTTTTACACAGGCACCTATTGCTGTTTGAGATGTCACTAGAATATTTTATAGACAGCATTAATTCCTTTCTCCTGTTTCTTTATGCTCCCTTTGGTTTTACCAGTATTTCTTCTTCTTGGCCTCGAGGCAGAGGTTATCCAGTTGCTGTACAGCCCAGGGAGTTCACAGTCCATCTCCTAGGTGTCACAGCCAAAGGACCAGTATAACAGGGAGCAGGCTGAGTGGCTCAGGTGTTGCTGTTGTGGTGCCACAGGGAAATTGGGACTGAAATGCATTGAATGTGACTGAACAAGGAGAAACATTTTGTCTTCTGTCATTGGATGTACTTGCTTTCAGTGGGGTTAATGTAGAGATGTTTTGGTTTTGCTATTTAGCTACAAATTCTGAGGAAGTTTGCTGTTTCTGTAGAGGGCTGTGTGTTTTATAGCTCGGTGGCATTCTGGAGTGGTTACTGTGCTGCAAACAGTGATGGTTGTGTGCCTAATAGTGTGTTTCATTTCCAGTTCTTCCTTTATTGCTTTTAAATAAGCATTTTTACAGTTGCAAAAAGAAGCTGTAGCCACACGTGGAGGATTCAAAATAACATATCAAAAACCCCAGAAATCGAATAGTACAGGAATAATATATCAGATTCATTTATAATTTATTCCATCTTGAGCAAAATCGAGGTTTGCCACTGCCTTGTTTTACCACCTAATTTGACCGCGCTTGTTAAAACGGCTCTTCAACATCTATCTGCAGGCATGTGTGAGAAAACGCGGTGTTAACTCAGGTGTTCGGTTTGGCCTGCTGCTTTTTGTGCGCTTGTTTTGTTGCTTGAAAGTAACCAGAAAAAATCTCTTTCCGCCGTGCCGGGCGGAGCGATAGGTTTGCCTCGGCGCTCGGTGGCGGCGGGTGCCGCTTG